ATGCGCATTTGGCGATCACATTACGGTAAATGCAAAATTACCGTAATTGCGCAATTGCAATTTCTCCAAAGAACCGAATTTCAAAAGATCGCGTTTCTGTCCACTTTCTGTCCACTTTCTGTCCAGTTTCTGTGCGACGTCGTGTGAAAACACGGGGCACTAATCCAGTTTCAGTCTGGATTTTGTTTGGATTAACCAGCAGATTTGCCCCCATGTGATAACGTCCATAGGTTTGCCACCACTGTCCTAGTGTGTTTTCCCCATTAACCAGCAGGCAACACTTAATTGTACTTGCTGAGACTGCTGGTGGGCAATGCCATGCAGGTAGGGTTGCCAGAGTGAAAACTGGGGAAGGCACCTGTACTTTTAAAGGTTGCATAGAAGGGGAAATTTCAGCAAGGGATATTTATATAGCTAGAGAAGTAATGTAGAAATAATGTAGTCTGACACCATTTTAACTGCCATGGCTGCATCCTACAGAATCCTAGGACTTGTCATTTTGTGAGGCACCAACACTCTTTGGCAGAGAAAACTAAAAACCCAGTAAAATTACAAATCCCAGGATTCCATAGGATGGAGCTACAGCACTTAAAAGTGATGTCAAACTGCATTATTTCTACAGCACAAATGCATCCCTAGTTGTGTGACAAGCAACACAGGCTGAAATTCACTTTTCTGCATAGCCATTAAAGGTATAGGAACTATAGTTTTTTGTGGGTTTTTCAGGCTGTGTGGCCATGTTCTAGAAGAGTTTCTTTCTGACGTTTCGCCAGCATCTGTGGCTGGCATCTTGGTATAGGAACTTTCTCAATTTTTCAGTCTGGCAACCCAACATCCAGAGCTTGGAAAATCTACATTTTGAACTATAAATCCCCAAATCTTGCAGTCAGTACAGTCATTGGCCTTATTTCAGTAAAGCAGCTGTCTCATCCATTTTCATTCCAGGCATAGCAAAGTACAGTGGTACAATATGTCACAAACTGAAAAGACTGGGTTATCATCTTTGCCCCTTCCCCTATATGCTACTTTTTCCATATGGCAGCACAGTAAGATGTTTTGGGTGGTTTGTTTTTTCGGAGACCATTATTCCATTGTGCTCATGTATTGCCCATGCTGACTGACAGTAGCTTCCCAGGACTTCAGGTCATTTTCTTTCTCAGTTTTTCCCTTCCTTTGCAGATGTCAGGGACTGAACTTGTGACTTTTTGCAAGCAAAGCCTATGCTGTGCTTCCAATTCTCCCCTGGAACAAAGGGGAAAATTCATGATTTCAGTAGCCCACCAAGAGCACAAAGTGGTACTAGAGGCCTGGAAGCAGCTTTTCACTTAGACCCCATTCACACTATGAAAATAATCCGGTGTGAAACCGGGTTATTTTCATGGTGTTCACACTTGCCCCGATTGCACTTGGCAGGGACTACCAAAAAACCGGCTTCACCTTGTGTATTTGACACTGGGTCCTTAAGCGCATCTTTTTGAAAGAGCCACAAAGATCCACATCTTTGGTAGTGTGAGTAAGCTGTCAATTGATTCAGATCACGCTGCATCATTCCCAGAAATGGAGGCTCCTCCATTTTAAACCGAAACAGTGGCAAGCGTGAATGACAACAGGGCTAAAATGCCACGGAGAGATTTGGAAACGGAAAATGTACTGGGAACATCGATCCGCTATTGCATCGCTGTGGAGATAATAAATAATAATAATAAAATTTATTTGTATCCCGCCCCTTTGAGATCCGGATCTCCTCAAGACAAAAAATAAACGTGAACGCCCCGTTAGTGCAATGACCATTTGGCTTGCTTTTGGAAACTTCTGGAACAGGAACGGACAACTGCTGTGGACTCATAGGGTTGCCAGAGTGAAAACTGAAGGCCTCCTAGTTGTATAGAAAGGGGCATTTCAGCAGGTATTGCTTGTCACACAGCCAGGAAACAACAACACCTGCTGAAATTCCCTTGTCTACTCTATACAACCATTAAAGATCCAGGAACCTTCTCCAGTTTTCACTCTGGCAGCCATAGCTGGTGGGGAGGCACTGGCCTTTCATGAGACTTTAGAAGGCCACCCTGCCAATTAAAAATAATAATTAATATGTGCTTGCCATTTTTGGAGGCCTTCTTGGATAATTTTAGGCCCAGGAAGACAACCAACATTTATTATTATTATTATTATTATTATTATTATTATTATTATTATTATTATTATTATTATTATTATCCTGCCCCTCTGCGTAACACAACTGGGGCAGCTTACGACATTAAAATATACATTTCATATTCCACAATGCCACCCACCCCTTAAAATACTATTAAACGATGACAATTTAAAACACACTTAAATAATAAACAAATAAACAATAACTGTAGCAGAATCAGGGGAACAGGTTGGGCTGTCTCTTGATGGCCGGGATATCTATTCAGGAAAGGCCTGCCAGAAGAGATCCGTCTTAACAGCCTTTTAAAGCTGTTCAACGTGGTAATATGGTATAGTGGTTTGAGCGTTGGGCTACAACTCTGAAGTTCAGGGTTCGAATCCTTGCTCAGCCATGGAAACCTACTGAGTAGTCTTGGGCAAGGCACACTCTGTCTGACAGAAGTTCCCCAGGGCTTCAGGTCATTTTCTTTCCCAGTCTTTCCCTTCCTCTGAACCTCAGATGAAGGCAAAGGCAATCTCCCGCTGAACAAATCTTGCCAAGAAAACACATGATAGGTTCCCTTTGGGGTCCCCATAGGTCAGAAATGACTTGAAGGCACACAACAACAGTATCAAGAGTCTTGTAACTCCTGGTCTTGGTTTCCTTTCCTAGCTCATTATGTCTGCTTGATAATTTAAAGGACTTTATTGTTTCATGTCTTCAGGTCATCTCCAAGTTATGGTGACCCTAAGGAGACCCTATCATGGTGTTTTCTGATGTTGAGAGTCTCCATAAGTTGGAATCTACTTGAAGGCACCCATTGGATGGAGATTATCACATGGAGGAGGCAAACATCCTCCTCCTGTCATTAAATCGTCATTAAATTGTGTTAATCATGCAATCGGGGGGAAGATTATCACACGCAACTCTTATCACACCCATCTGTAAACAGTAATGGAGGCATCATTTGGTATTAACGAAACTCCAGTTAATATCAAAGGATGGGTCCATTACTGTTTACAGATGGGACAAGAACAGGAGAAGCGCAGATGTGTGTGATAATCTTCCCCCCAAATAACATAATTTAATGATGATTTAATGACAGGAGGAGGACGCTTGCCTCCTCCATGTGATAATCTCCATCCATTGGGTGCCTCCGTCCAATTTATGGACACTCTCAGCCCCAGAAAACCCCATGATAGGGTCTTCTTAGGGTCACCATAAGTTGGAGACGACTTGAAAACATGCAACAATAAAGTTCTTTAAACTGTCAAGCAGACATAATGAGCTAGGAAAGAAGCCAAGACCAAGAGTTTAATGATGGGAAGAGGACACTTGCCTCCCTTGTGATAAAGTCCAATAACGACAACAAACAAGGGCCAGGAGAGACTTTCCCCCCCAAATATGAAGCCAACGTCCTGTTTAATTCCTGGTTAAAAGGCGGCCCCTTCCACAGGGTTACCAGCATGAAAACTGAAGAGGGCTCCTCTACCTTTAACGCTTGTGTGGAAGGAGGAATTTCAGTAGGTGTGACTCTTTTCTTGGTTGTGTGATGAGCAAGATCTTCTGAAATTCTCTCTTCTGCACAACCATCAAGTGTACAAAAGCCGCCTCTAGCAGAACCCAACAGGTTGGGATGGCGAGAAACATACAAGATTACTACCTCAGGAATATGGGAGGCATTTTTATTTTATTTTTTGCTAATCCTGTATTTCCATTTTTCTGGGTGCCTCAAAAACAGCCCTTGGGCTTCATGGGCTGCTCTTTTCTCACCGCTATTAGAGAGGGATGTAAAATGGAAACGTCTCCTCCTGTGAGAACATTTTTTCTCTCTTCCTTCCAGCCATACCCTCAGTCCAACCCTCCACCACCACCGGCTTTGTCTCCAACACAGGTGACTCCTGGCATTGCTATCCTGGAACCCCGGCGCCCGCCACACGATTACCTTCCCATCGCCGTCCTCACCACCATCTGCTGCTTCTGGCCTACAGGCATCATTGCAATCATCAAAGCGGTGCAGGTAAGCAGCAAGGAAGAGAGGGACAGGGGTAGAAAGGGGGCTGTTTATGAAGCAGGACCACCCAGAGGTTGTTTCCCTATCTGTATTATACAGTGGGTCATCGGTATTGGCTGGGGTTTGGTTCCAGAACTCCCTGTAGATGGATGCTCAAGTCCGACTAAATATAATGGGGTAGTAAAATGGTGTCTCTTATATAAAAGAGCCAAAATAAAGTTTGCTCTTGGAAATGTGTGTATATATATATATATATATATATATATATATATATATTAATATTTTCAAGCCGTGCATGGCTGAATCTTTGGATAAAGCATCTGTAGATACAAAGGGCCAACTGTAAAGCATTATGTGACCTATCATCCACATGGCTGGTTAGGTGAACAAGCAGGGGTTGTAACCAGTGAGGAAATGGAAATGCTGAAAAGTACAATGAATGAATATTGTCTGAACAGTGACATAACCTCCAACTGTCCTGATTTGCCAGAGATAATTCCAATAATCTTCTGTGGCTTTTGAAATGCCCTAATTTCTCATTCTTCCTCTTAGGACGTTATCACACGTGGGCCAGAAAGTGAAAATAAAGTTGATATGAGGCATTCCGAAAATAAACCGAAAATAAACCTTGATTCCGCAAATGGTTTTCACACGTAATTACCTTAATTGCGAAATTACAATAAGCACATTTAACGTTCACACACAAGTGAGAAAAGCCCATAAATGTACTAGAAATGAGCTTCTTGCACATGCGCAGATAGAGGAATGCTCGCTGTGGAACCATGGGAAAAAGCAGGGAAATGCTCCCAAATGCGCATTTGCTTTTCACATTACGGTAAATGCGAAATTACTGTAATTTCACAAATGCATTTCCTCCAAACAACCAAATTTCAAAATATCTCGGATAACACCAGTTTCTGTTCACTTTCTGTCCAGTTTCTGTGCGACATCGTGTGAAAACGTGAGGCACAAATCCAGTTTTTGTTTGGAATTTGTGTGGATTAACCAGCAGATTTGCCCCGTGTGATAATGTCCTTACTTTCTCTAGACTCCAGTTGTTGCAAACGGAGTTAAAAGTGCAAAAGTCAAATCTCTTACAGTACATCCAAATAAAGGTTCTGTGATTCCAACTCAGCATATGGGAGAGGAGAGCAAGGAGGCAAGTTTTGTCCATCCCTGTAGGCTCAGTTAAAAGCAAACTGCTGCAGCCTTTCCTAGCTTGTGTGTTCTAACTTTTGCCATCTTGACCACATGCTGATGGTGCTTGGCCATGTCCTAGTTTTCATCTGTAAAACGTTGGCGGGTATGTAGCAAAAGGATAGCTGGGACTATGAGCCTTATCATAATATTAAACAAACCCGGCAGACAAACGAAAAGACAAGCGTGGTGTTTTTTATTTCTTCCGCATGACTCTCATTCTCTTCAGATAAAAGTATGGGAGAGTGCTGTAAAAGCATCATTTTTGCCAAATGGATTATTTCAGCTTGGCAAATGGGACACTTTTACGACCCTCTCCCGTGGTTTTACAATCAGAAGAGAACGACATCATGTGAGGGAGAGAGAAAAAACATGCACTTTTTATTTGCCTGCTGGGTTTGTTTAATGATGCCATAAGGCTCTATTTTGTAGACCAAGGTTCGAATCCATGCTCAGTCATGCAAACCCAATGGGTGATCATGGACAAGTCACATTCTCTCAGCAAAGCCAACCCCACTCTGAACAAATCTTGCCAAGAAAACCCTGTGACAGGATTGCCATAAGTTGGAAATGACTGGAAGGCTTGTGCCAACAAAAAACAACACCAGTCTAACCAAGTGAAGGTGGTATAATTCTAAACCGAGGCAATTATTTTTATTTGGCGCGAGACAGAAAAATGACACCGGTGCTCCCTTCTATCCTTTTGAGTAAAAGCACAACTGCCAATCAATTAAATAACTAACACCTTACTGCCATTTCCAAAATGTGCTGCATTGCGTTCTGCTCAATAGTTGGGCATTGGTCCTATTATGGCAGCAATCTGGCATCTTTGTTGCCAAGTGTCCATTTGCCAGAGTCGTCATAAAAATCCTTATTGCATTCTGAATAATTGCATTCTCTTCAAACTTAGAAATGTTGAAGATGTAAAGACTACACAGAAGGAAAAGAAACGATTTGAACTTCTCAGAAACATATGTCAAATACACTCTCTGTTCATGTCTGGCTGGCGCCCCGCAACCTCCCACGCAGGGACACGTTTTGTACTCCGGATTCAATTGCTTCATTCTGTGTTCTGAAAATAATCCAGAGCTTTGAGGAGGCTGGCAGCCATTTTGTCAAGCTGGGAGAGAAATGAGGACCCTGCCTCCAGCTAAGGCGCTGAGTTCATTTTTGCCCATCTGTCCAAGGTTATGATATACGCAGAACTGGTGTTTCAATTGCTGCTAAGGGAGGGAAAAGCCTGTTCAGAGAGAAAAGGATTTTGAGAAACCTATGAAGACCTTCATGGTGGCTGCTCCCAGGTTGGACAGTGGTCCCTCCACATTCGCTGGGGTTAGGGGTAAGGACCCCTGTGAATGTGGAAAAACCGCCCCGACCCCCAACTCCCACTATTCTTTTTCCTTGAGAGATCACCTCTCAAGGAATCTCCAGGTCCTCCAGTGCAACTCTATGAACAACATCTGCCAGAGGTTGATCATAGAATCATGCTGGAGGACCTACAAATGCCTAGAGAAGTGCTTTCTCTAAGAACTTCTAGGTTCTCCAGCACAACTCTATGGTCAACATCTGGCAGAGTTGCACTAGAGGACCTAGAGATCTCTAGAGAGAATATATTAACCAAAACATCAAATAATCAAATCTGCAAAAGTCAAAGCCGCAAACATGGAGGGCCAACTGTACAAAATCTTGCCAAGGAAAGTTAGGCTGGAGCCCTCAACCTTCACTCTGCCAGCAAACTTTTCTGTTCAGGCTGGATTTTGACAACTCCCTGGCTGCTCACTCCCCTTGCCTGTCTCTATACATACACAACACAGAGATAGACACATTTATATGTGTGTGTGTGTTGCATTGTATATTGTACATTTTTTGTTTTGACATAGGCGCTTTAATATAATGATTGATTTAATTGTGTTTGGATGTTAATATTTATTGTTCTTTCTACTGTGAGCCACCATGAATCCCAGAGAAAATGGAGGGTATAAATAACATCAATGACATAATTTTAGGAGGGTGCTCTAAAAATGATCTCAGAGGTGACAAATGGAAGCGATTCTTAATGGCATGTCAGTGTAGGGAAATCATAAAGACACAAACTAGAGAATAAACCATTGCACACAATGGGACTTATTTCTGAATGTAAATGTAAAATTGTACTGATAATAAGCATTCCCTTTTGTCAGGAAAATGGGGGTGTTAATAGT